ATTGGCCAATTAAGGAGGGTGGTGCTGTTCAATATCACCATCTGTATGGGCTGAAAGGAGGAAGAGGTGTGTTACCAACACCTGCACTCCTTCCTCTGCACTCTCTGTAAGACTTCGTCTTACAAGTGGTTATTACCATGAGCAGACCTTCTGACTCAAGCATGAGTATTCCCAGTAAGAGCTGTCACAGTGTTATTTGCATGGCTGGGACTGTAAGACAGTGGAACATCCAAGGTATTCTATACATATTCCCTGAATCTGGGAGTGAGGAAGCGCAGTTTGTACCTTTCAGGCACCCAAAAGTAAGAGTGGTGAAATTTAACACAGCCTGACTGCTCATCTATTGCATGTTAATTCAGGTCATTGTCAGGGGTCTCATACCCTGAAGTTTCAGTTTAAATTTTTTTGGTTTTGACTGAGCGAGGAAAGAGGAGTATCGAATTCCAGCCAATTCATGCTTGAAGCAAATAAGAAGTTGGCTGGATATTTTCTGGAATGATTTCCAAAACCACACATGGAATGAAACCAATTCAAAATTTCTAAGGCATTTCACCCAGGGACACAAGTCTGATGCATCACTGCACGCTGCATGCATGCTGCAGGCTCCCCTTCTTGGAAGCATGGCTCCAGCTTGACCAGCTAAGAGGCTGTTTTCAGCATCCTGGTAAAACTGTGCTATGAAAGCAAGTTCTGCTGGGACTGCAACAAGGTACCAAACTCGCCTTGGATTGTAAGAAAAAGTTCTAGGAGATGGTTATTCAAAGAATAAACAAATGCCAAATCAGACCGAAATGTTAAATTCATGCTGTGAAGCTTTTATGTTCTACTGGTGTGTCCTAGCAGGGGCACCGTTTAAAGCATTTGGGAACTGCTCTGAGAGAAGGGCAATGGAGAGATGCTCTGCACATGTGCTGCTACATATGTGGTGGATTTACCAGGACAGCTGCACTCTCCTGTCTCCTGTTCCTCTCTGTCTGCACCTCAGCAGCATCAGGCTTCAGCCCTGCACCTCTCAGGGGGTTCTGCATTCTCTGAAACCAGCTGGAAACTGGATTCAAGCCCCTCAGTTTCACCAGTAAGGGAGCACTGGTCTGATGCGAATTTGGCCTCACACAGCTTCCTCTTGACAGCAGCTGGCTAAAATGAGTGAAAAATTACTTTAAAATTAAGGACCTTTTAAGTTTGTTACTTGGAATTATCAAATAGATTGAATAAGGTATAAAATCATCACAGCTACAAACTACAGCCCACACATGCACATTTTGTTTCAGTCCTTTGCCTCTCTTTCATAGCTCAGCTGTCTCCAGGTTATTGTCAGTCTGTGGAATGGAAGGAATAGCCTGCAATTATCTCAGTGTCCACCTTATGTTTGGAGTGCCCTCTGCATCTTCCCCCTCCTAAACCTGGGTCTGCCTCCTTTATGTTTTGGGCTTTTTGAATTCCTCCCTCCAGGCTTGTTAAAACAGCTGTGTCACTTTGTAAGGGACTAAAGAGTCTCTTCTTGGGTCTCTAAATCTGGCAGTTGTGTTTGAGGGAATGCTCTTTATCCAAGCAACTGCACTGTCTTTCCTGCTTGTATTTCCAACAACCTTTTGATGACTGCCATTGAGTTAGTGCACGAGCATACATAAATGCAAAACACAGAGTCACAAAAATGAGTCACACGCGGTATTCAGAGTTTCCTGGATTGTTGCATTTAGTATTAAGTTATTGGAATAATTATAGATTTTATACTTCCAGCAACATTTAATGCCTGTAAAGACTCTTAGGAGGTTACTCACTAGTAAATACTTCCCACTAAATATATATTCATCTCATAGCCATGGAGATGATGTCGTACCTCTTTCCACATGTAAGACGTAAGTCTGCCATACTAATGTTGCCTGTAGGGCCTCAAACTTTCATTTTCTGGTGAGAGGGCTAAAAATTGAAATTCCTGTTCTTTCATTACAGCATTTCAGCATAGTGCAACATTTTAATTCCTTTATTTTGGCCCTGTCCCAGTTCTGTCCACCTGACTCTGAGATACAGGAGCAGTGCATGTGGTTGGTTTTTTTTTTACAAACTCCATTACAGCATTGCTCAGCTGAAATGATCTTGATGAGAGGGACAAATCTGTCATTTTTGCTTGTTAGCCCTTTTTGTTCTGGAGTACAGAACCACGTAGTAGGGCACGTACTGAGTTTTTACAGCCAGCTTGAGAATCACGTCCCATTTGTCAAGGTAAATTATGGGAGATTTGTTAAATTGAGGAAGATGCAAGGAAATTCTCCTCAGTCTTGGTGTCATATCCCATACCACCACTTTCTGGTAAAGGAGGAAGAATTTTGAAAATGTACAGCTCTCTTTTCACCCTGACACTTAAATTGAACACAGGCTTCTTTAAACTCTTTCCACTGCTCCTATATACAATTTCCAGTGTGGACAAACTGAAGCTTGCTATAAGGGCCTACTTTACTTCTTACGTATTTTGCATGTAAATCAGCACCAGAAATAAATCTTGCTCAATAGCAATCATGTGGATACTGAATGCATTTCCAGGAGGATTTCATACTAACTCTCTCTTATGTCCCCTGCCTCAGGCTCCTAGGCTGGATGAAAGCACAGTACACAACAACTATTTTTCAAATAATGCTTTCCATAAAGAATGGGTAGCTGGGAGGTGGGGACTTCCATATTCTGCCCTACACGTATGTGATCATTTTTGTAAAAAAATAAGAGGCAATGGGATTGGGAAGGGAGCATTCAGGGCTGTTGGAAACACCTGATTGCAAAAAGAAAATAGCAGAGTGGAACTTTTAATCAAGTGCCCTGGAATTCAGGTGAGTGTCAGAGAGGACTTTCCCACCACCATTAAGAGTTGGTGGGAACATCTCCTTTAACTCTAAGCTGGTGTTTAACTGCATCTCTGGGCACCTGAATGCCTTCCACATTTGTGCAAAATAATCTATAGCTTCTTGTAATTCACAGTTTGGAAGAAGCTTTTCCTGATGATTCATGCAAGGAACATTTTAACTAAATGGACTTCCCATCTGCACAGCACATCTGTGTTGCAGTCAGCTACTTCACTTGTAGGAAAGGCACATACAGTAGTCTTTCAAAAGTGGAGCAGACAGTTCTCACTTTAATATTATTTGCATAAACCTTTATGAGTGCCCCAGATCTTGATGGTACAAATTTAGGCTTAATCTAGTGTGAAATAATGCCAAGAGTGAGCCTCTAGTTTTTGCTGCGGCACTATGATGGGCAGATTGCATCAGGGTACAAGAAAAAAACCTCAGTGGGATTTTCTGCATAGAATGAGTGCCCCAGATTTTCATGGTGCCAACTGAGATTAAATCTGGCCAAAAAAAAGGTACTGTGAGAGAGCTTCTGGTTTTCACCTATTCAGTGTGATGGACAAACTGCAACGAGATACGAAGAAAACCATCAGGGCAGAGGATACAAGTCGAGAAAACAGAACCTGTCATTGTGTTCACTTGTAGCTTTCTGTTTCCTTAGAAGTATTGCCACTTCTGCAGTTCACTTATTTTTAAAGAATTCTACTACTCAAATTTATTTAATAATATATGTCTGTGAGACCATTTTAGAGACTTTTTTGTTTGTTTGTTTTATTCTACAACAGCTCAAGAGAGTAAACTGATACAGGTTATAGTCTAAATTTTTTTTATATACTTATGTATAGGCTGAAATCAGGTATCTGACCTATATCAGTTATTAATGTATATATGTATAAAGACAGACAGACATACATAAAAATACATACACCCATACATTCAGTTTTCTACAGGAATTTCACCTTTTCATGTTTGTTACCTGAAGACAAGTAATTGCTCTTATGGCTCTTGTTATAGGTAGGTTATTATAGGTAGGAAACATTGTTAGGTTTGCTGTATTGACATATTGCTGCATGGTGGTTGTTGAGCAAATAGCTTCTTAGCCAAATTCTCTCCTGTAAGAGGTTTCAGTCTTCAAGACAACTTTCTGTTTAAAAAGGATAGAAAGCAGCTGCCTCTGGGGCTCACTCATGTACAGCCATATGTATGGTGTGGGGTTTTTTTCTGCAGGGCAGCCCTCCTCCTAGAAACTTCCTCTGCTGGAATGTTTGTGCAGTCTGGCCTGTCTGCTCTTCCACCACGTTTAGCATAGCACATTTGCACATTTTATTGTCAGCAGCTGACATTTTTTGTAGGCAGCCTTTGCTGGAGAGCATAAGACCATTAACAGTATAGATGACCTTGTCAGCAGATAGGACAGTTCACTCTCCCTTGACTGGCCTCTTTTTGAGGGTACCTGAGCTGTAATTTTGATATTAGTAAAGTCATCATCAAAAGCAAAACTCGTTGTCCACAGAGAAAACCTGGCTTGCTTAATGCAGCAGCAAGAAGTCTCACTGGAGAGCAAAGATGTGAAATCCATCAGTGAGAAGCTGGAAAGGGCTATGCCAATGCAATCTTTGATTTCAGTGAGAAGTCATCACATAAGAAATGATTGTGTGCTTGAGTCAAGGGGACTTGATTTAAGGGGTTTTAATTATTACCTGGAAGAACTCCCTGCCATTGTGCCTTGTACACATGGTATTTTTCCATGTTGCTTGTGACAGAGAAAGTCTCATTTTGTAACCGCCAGCACTGTGCAAAACAGAATTCTCAGCACAAGTATGAATGTCTTCACCATCCTTTTGAACTGAGCTGTTCAACTTGCACAGAGCAGACCTAATGGCTTCCATGTGCTTGATGACCAAAAAGAAAGTAGCAACTGCCTTAATCAAAAAGGATTCTAGTATTCTCCCTGAGCAACAGCATTTTTTTGAACTGGTGGGGGGACAACTGAAAAACATGACAATAGTGGAAGGAAAGAAAAGGAAAGAGTTATGTCCTTTTCCTGTGACAGCCTCCCTCCTCCTCCTCACTTCATGCCTGTGCCTGTGGTGGCTGGTGTTCAGGGTTATTACTTGTCTGAGTTTTCTGAGAGATGTTTTCCTTGTTGTGTCCATTCAGGTCTCGGTCAATCAGCGGAGCATCGTCTGGGCTCTCCACCAGTCCTCTCAGCAGTCCAAGGGTAAGTGCTGCTGCTTCAAGATCTGTTGGTCCAATCCACTCACACATGCTTGATGCTTTTCAACATCTGTTGCACCAGAGCTGTGGCTCTTAGCTGGGATGTTTTGCTTTTCCTTGGCAGCTTGTAAATTTTCATGGGTGGTGAGGGAAATGTTGCTTGCAAATGCAAGTGGAGAATTTCTCATACATGTTCCCTGCACTGTTAGCAGGGATCTCACTGTGCCCCTGCCCTTTTTCAGTCTCATAAGCACACAGACTAACATTGCTATGATTAAACACTCCATATCCAGCTGAGGTCTCCATACAGCCTGGTTTCAGACCAAATGATCAGGAACCATTTCACAGCTGCCTTCAATTAGGTCACACTAAAGCACCAAAACATGCTGGTTATCTTCTGTTTGCCTCAGAATAGCTCGTATTAGGAAGTCAGAGCAAATATATTACAGAAATTTGAGTGCTAGCGAATTTAAAAGGAAAACAAGAAGCTGACAGACTAGGATGAGTAAAGAACATTCAAATCCCTATAAATAAGGTACTTTCACATGCCCTTTTTAAGCATGCAGTCAACTAAATACCGATGCTCAATACTGATACTCAGCCAGTAGAACACATGCTTGATAGTACGTTTGTTGTGAAGTTGAAATGGTTTCTAAATGCAATGACAGAGGCTCCCATCTTCTTGTTAACTTCTTTAGGGATAAAAGTGAGTATTTCTAGTGCTTGAAAAGGTCAGCTAAGTCACTTTAAGACTGCAGTGCCTAACAGAAGTCTAGACCTCGTCAAAAAGGCTATTGGGCTGTGACAGTTTATGTTACCTAAATGTCTGGCCCAGAGTCTCTGGAGGATTTCTACATACTTCCCATGACTCCATGAGAAGATGCTATCCCCTGTTAGAAATTTATATAGTCCAAGTAATAGGGTATGGATACATCTATGGATCTACTCTTAGTTGTATGAAGATAACATCAGTATTCCAAGTATTTGAAATTGCAGTTCCACCCTAAGATTCTGTGTAATTCATGTGAATAAAGACACACTGTCAGCTCTAAGTTTATAGTCTAGTAAAGCTTCCAGCACTTTGCTTGATTGAATTAGTTTCTGAAACCTATTTTGGGCTCCTGCCAGTTGTTATCCCATTTTGATACTGGCATAAGTGTTCTTGTGGTCTCCTCTAGGTCTTTAAAGTCCTAGGGACCAGTGAAGATCCATTTCCTTCTTTCTGAACTGAGGCTTCTGGTTGCCAGTGGAATGGAGCAGAGATCTGAGAACTCTTATGACACTGCAAAATGTATTGGAAAAGAGCATGGGAACAGTTTTGTGCACAAAATAAGCAACCAATGAAGCAAATCTAAATCTTGATTTCATTAATTGATCTCTTGGGATCAACTTCTGACATCTCAGTAGGACAGCATCAAAGAATAAGTTTGACAGGATCTGTCCCATATTCACTGTATCTTACCATTATTACTTAATAGACAGTTGATTAAATAGTCTTCAAAGGGATTTTGAAATCAGATGTCATTTTCAGCAGATCATAATGCTGTTAAGGCAGGTCACATTTGAGGCTTAAAAGGAAATGTTGGAATAAAAATCATATTTTTTTAAACGTCCTTACTTATGCTTCTAATAGCACCTTAGATTATTGAAAGAGAACATACTTTAAAAAACAAATACACCTTTTACTTTTTGCACTGCTTAGGTTCAGTTCTATGAGGAATTAAATTCAGCAGCAAATAAGAGTTCTCAAATTTCACAAGATCTTGCTAATGGTGTTCCACATTGCACCAGCTGAAATCGAGACCTAATCTTGTTCTTCATTTCATTATTAAATATGTGATAATTAAGGGTGCCTCTTCAGATTCTTCATGGCGTGAGAGGGAGTTGAATCTTACTTTATTTCTTTCAAATCTGCTTCTTAAACCATCATACATGTAAGATAGGAAAATTGCAAGGAAACTTTTGCAATTAACAGTCTTTGAGTTTTATCCATTGGTGTCATTTGCAAATAATTAATAGTCAGATGCCAATGGTGACTTCCACAAATTAACCACTTTCCTCATCTTTTCCCCTTCCTTGCTCATTGACAATGAGAATTTAGCAACATGGCAGACTTAAGTTTAACTTTACAATCCTAATATTAATACAGATATTTTGATGTACTGATTTTCCTTTCATTTTGGTGGCCTAAGTTCTTTGAAGTAATTACAGAACTGTGATGCAAAAAATTTAAAGACACAAGTATTAAATACATTTCTACAATTCTTTTAAATATGGCAACATTGTGCTAATCCATTACACCCAGGAAGGAAACTCGTAGTGTGTTTACCTGGGACTGAGATTTGAGGCAAGCTTACCTGGTATGTCTGGTTAGTTCTTGATTATGGCTTTTAGGTGTCAAGAATGGATAATAATAATGGTGATGGCGTAATTTTTCATAGGTAAGAACTTTGTAGAAATCAGAATCTAAGAGTAGACCAAAGCTGAATATCTTGAGCTATTATATATATATATATAATATATAATATATATTATATTGTATATATATTATATATAATATATATTATAATATATAAATATTTCTATTTTTACAATTATTCCAGTACTTGTAATCTAAGGTGGTAGTAGCAATGACTTGTAAGGACATTTTTTGTTTGTTTTAAATGTGATTTTTAGCTTGCTAATATCCCTTAAAAGGCTTCTACCCTTCCAAGTCTGTCTATTGCTGTTTGCTGTCAAAGTATGAATGGTTTCCCAAAATATCTCTTAATATATATAAATGTTCCTGTTTGGGAAAAAAAATCATAATCCCATTTTGATACCTCAGTGAGGGATTATGAACTTGGCTTGTCTTTTTTTCTTTTTAAACTGTGTCTTACAAAACAATGGCTCCCCCCACCCTCTTCTTAGACTTGGGACTTAATGGCAAATATTGCTGCGACTTTATGACAGAAATTCCAATTATCAAGCTATCCTTCAATGCAATGAGGGATGTTGGAGGAGAAGCATAAAGTCTGATGGAAAGTACCATCTCTTCTCAGATAAATAAATTTACCAGACCTCACTGAAGCTTTTGCTGTAGCAGTTTAAAAATCAAACACCAATCTGAGTTCATATATTTCTTGTGGTGTTGTGTGCTCTGAAGCTTCCAAGTGAAGGCTGAGCAATTTAACCTTCCAGATTAGGGGAGGAGAGAGAGTGCCCAGGTGGCATCACTCTCCCTTTTCCCCCTCTTTCTGCAATGGGTGGCTGCAACTGGTGCATTACCCAGCCAGGGGTAAAGAGGAAGGAAAGAGGTTCTGACTGGTGTGTGCGATAACTGTGTGTATCCCCTGCCACTCTGTATGTATCACACACCTGTTCTGAGTCTCATCTCTCTACTGGGTTTGCATATGGGCACATGGAGCGGAAAGAGGTGGTCCCGTTCTTGGCACATCTCAATTTGTCTGTGGCTTGAGTGGTTCTTCTTCCCCTTCCTCACCTCCCTACAGCATCGTGCTTCTCTCACTGCAGGGCAATCAGAACAATCCCAGAGAGATGGCATTTCTCTCTTCTTTTTTTCTTGGTTACTTTCTTTTTTTTTTCTTTTTTTTTTCTTTTTTTTTTCTTTTTTTTTTACTTTGTTCCTTTGTTGTACTTTTCTTTCTGTTGTTTTCCTTTGCTGACACGTGGTTGGTTAATATGATGAAGCCTGTTATGACACTGTTGTTCTTGCTGCTGCCGCTGCTGCTGTTGTTGAATATGCTGTGTTCCCAGCTAACTGCATGTCTTTTTTTTGTTTTTTGTTTGTTTGTTTGTTTTCGTTTCTTTGCAAAATCCCTCCCCCCCACTACCCCTTCACCTCCATCTCCTGTGTCTCCTTGTGACATGGTGCATCTTTGTGACTCGGATGGATTTTATTCTGACTTTCCTTTCTCTGCTCGCCCGCTCTTTGCGTATTTCACTGTTTTTGATGTGCATGGACACTCTGCGTCTGTCTCGTAGCCTATCAGAAAGTTCTTCATCCCCCCTCAGACCTCCGACCTCCCTTTCTCTCCCCGACCCCAAGTCTCCTTGGACCCTGATGCTTGTAGGAACGCCTCCAGGCCTGGACATGTACTCCAACCAAAGCCAGCACTTCAGCCCAACCCAAAGACGCAGACTTTGCCATCCAAGAGCAAATTGGCTGAAAAACCACTCCAGTCTACTAAATCCAACCCACTCCCTGCCAGCAATACCAGCGCCCCCTCTTCCCAGAACAACCCTGTGCAGAATGCTCAGGGCCGCTCGCCTGCTGCCGGCTTTAACCCACAGCTGGCTGTTCCTAAAGTGCAGACCAACCCTATGTCTCCTGTTAGATTGCTCCCTTCTAGTACTGACCCAAGCACCAAATCTATCCCCATCATACAGGTCACCCCTCACCCCTCTCCAAGGGGAAGTCCCCTCCCTACCCCCAAGGGGACACCTGTTCATACGCCAAAGGAGAGCCCAGCAGGCACACCCAACCCAACACCACCATCCAGCCCCAGCATTGGAGGAATGCCTTGGAGGACACGGCTCAACTCCATCAAGAATAGTTTCCTGGGGTCTCCTCGCTTCCATCGTCGGAAATTACAAGGTGAGTACTCACCCAGACATACAGGGTGGTTCTCTGGGTTGGGCAAACGTTCAGCACCTGAACTGAACGTTTCTGTCTGTGGCTCTGCAAATTCTGTGTACCAAGAGTGAATACTGGTGTGGAAAATGAGAATGATAGCGTCGGCCAAGCCCTAACCCACATGTGAGCAGGCTCCGTTGTGCCACTGCCCCTGCTCCAACAGCATCTCCTGAGCCCACTTCACACTCCATCCATGCAGCTCTTACTCTCTCTGTTGTGGCTCTTAGACTGCAAGAAAATATGTCTTCAGTTTCTTCACTTGCTTTGCAAGTGAACCTAGGGCTCAGCCATTTCCCCTGTGGCTGTGCTCCACTGCCTCTCCACAGCCACAGGCTGAGCCTTATGCTGAAAAAAAAAAGACAGCCAGAGGCAATAGGCTGAAATTGTCCTTCTGAAGCACAGCTTTTTTGATCTTGGTTAATGCCTTTTTTTGCCTCCTTTGGTAATTGGTGCAAAAATCTCCTTAATACAATCACTGGTTTCATATATGCTGGCCTACTTCAGTTTTCTAAATCTCTGGAGTATTGAGATGTGCAAAATTTTCTTCCTCAGGCTCCAGGTGGCTTTTTTGCATGCCAGCAAAGTGCACCCAAAGTCACATGCCTTATCCTTGAATGTCAGCAGCAGCTCTCCCAACACCCTGTGGTTTTACAGGGTACCAGGACATGATCCTACAGGAAAGGAGGATTACAGCCATGGAATAGTTACATTTTGAACTGTGATGGTCGGTGACGTTGTCTCTGAGGTGGCCAGAGAACTGCAGAGAGTTGCAGCAGTGACTGAGCTGCATCCAGCTGGGCTGTGAAGCAATTGCAAAGCAGTTGCATTGGCACAGTGATTTTGGGTCTGAACCAGAAACCACTGAAGCCAGTGCAAGATTACCTAATGATCTAAGGAAGGGTAGAGTGAGCCTGGAAATGGAGCACTTGATTAGATGCAGAGATCTAGAGACATATGACCAGCATTCAAATGTCAGAATTAGCTTGCAGAGGCTAACTGGGCAATGGGCAAATGCAAGTGAGTGCAGAATTGTTTCATTGGTGTCAGGCAGAAAATGGAAGGTGTACTGAATCATCAAATTTCTTTTCTCCTTCCCTCTCTTTGGCTGTCCGTGCATGAGCAGTACCTACACCAGAAGAGATGTCTAATTTAACCCCAGAATCATCCCCAGAGTAAGTGCTTTGCCTTTTTCTCCACCAAATACCAGTGTCATTTCCTGACCTGAATGTCATAAGCTGACACATTTCTGTTCTGGATCAGTATCTGTTTGTAACCAGTTGTCCTGTGGGTGGGATAGAGATGTGAAATGATTCTTTTGATGAGGACTCTGCATAAAATCTATACCTCAGTGATGGCAGTGGGGTCAACAGGTGATGAAACAGTCTCCCAGTAACCACCCCTTTTTCTCATGGCTTGCTGAATTTGCTGGGTTTGTAACATGTTTCTTCCCTCTTCATTCATTTGGGTGTCAAGTAGATCACTCTTTGGGACTGGAGAGGCTAATCAGTGGCTAACACTGGCACTAGCTGTGTACCAAAAAGTCTTCCTTTTAGTACAGGAGAGTTTGCATCCTCAGGATAGCATGCAGGAGGCTGTGCTATGATAATTCAGAGGGATCTTTGGCTGTGAGAGCCAGTGCAGTGTTAATTCTAGGCAGCAGTACTGGGACACAGAGAAGCTGTTTCATATTCACCAGGCTCATTCCTAAAAGTCAGTGTACATTTCAACCATTTCACTGCACAAATGTGCATCACTGCATGGCAGGTTTGGAGGTCCCTGCCAGAGTGCTGCTCCATACACTTCCTAATACGCAACAGATGCCAAATTATTCCTTTTTATTTTCACAGCTTGTGTTTGTGCACCCAATGCCCATAGACTTAGCCTGCCAACCAAGGCAATTTGGCCTCTTGTTAAGAGACTTGTATGAAATATTCATGAGTCTTGGGTGGGAATTTTGAGCTTAAAGTTTTCTAATTGGTAACAATGGTATTGTCTTCACAACCTGCCACAAACCTGGCTTTTATCTGGTGTGAGATGGGCACTCTCTGTGTAATAGTGCAGATTGGAGAGGGATAAAGACTTCAGGAGAGGGAGAAGTAGGGATTAGTAAAGGTATCCAGGAAGAAAAATGGAATGTACTATGTTTTCAACACTTCTGAGCAATTACTGATAGAGAGGCAAGAGAGAATTCCATAAAATTGGCACATCATTATCACAGAAATATACAATACTCTCTTCTCACATGTTTTTAGAGCCATTAAAACAGAAAACCTTTAGAATAAAATTTCTTCTCTTCATTGCATGTATGTTGGTGGAAGTTTTGCTGTTAATTTATTGCCTTCCCTGCTTCCCACACACTCTTTAAAAGCTGGTGGAGAGAAGTAGTGCCTGTCATTTGAGGCAGTTTGGATGCAAGTCAAAGCCTAAGGCCCTCTTTTCTTTTTCTGTATAATTGCCAAATTAATGAGTTCAATTGGGCTTCACCCTGCAGTAAACATAATAGAAGTCGTAAAAAATAATGAACTAGATTATATTTTAATGATAGATGTCTGTTGCTCAGTGCCCACTTCCACATATCTTATTTTTTGCCATATTTTCTTCTTTTCTGTAAGAAATAAGATATCCTTATCAAGAGCTGTATTGACCTCATGGGTTGAGTGATAAATACATGTCCTAGCTCTGTCTGGTGCAGTAGTGCCTGCCATTCATTTAACAAACCTGATGATTAGGTAATACACTTCGACATGTCTGGGTAATGCTGTTCTTTCTCATGTGAAAAAGCCCTAGAAAATGTGTTAGGGATGACATTTAAAGAGACTTAGCTCCAGCTGGTTTAAACCTACAAAGCTCTGTTTGCTTGAGTAAAAATGCTGTTATTTATGCTAGGCAGGTAAACCTCTGGGGGTTACTGATCTGTGTGCTCAGAGACAGAGAGGGAACACAGAAGGCTACATGGTCAGACACTCCAAAAGTAGGAAAAGGGACAGCATTATAGGAGTGAGAAATTCTGGTGTGAAGTAATAAAGCATCAGCCTCTATTTTTGTGCTAATTTCTTGGCTTTTTTCATCAACTGGACACCTGATTGGATTCCCTAGTGTAATCTACATACCCAGCCTCTCCCACTTCTCCTATCTCAGTCTTCCTTTAAGAAGTTTGCCTTGGTAAAAGAAGATTCTTAATTTTAAGTACATTTTATAGTGTTTACAGCTTGATCAGAAGAGGTGCTGTAGCATGCCATTCAGGATGCTGAGGATTCATATTTTAACCCATGTTAGAACACTTAATGCCCTCTAAGAGGAGAAAAGCCTTTATTGTGTAATTTTACTCCAAAGGTGTCCCCTCTTCGCATTGGGTCTATTCCCTAGGTGTATGAGTACAGCTAGTTCTGCCAGTTTTGGAGAGAAAAGCCATTGTATGTGTGCTGTGTGTTGATTCTGCTTATTACAGAAACAGGAGAGGCCACTGACATCTATTCCATCTTATGTGACACCAGCAAAATCATTTTAGTGAATTTAAATGATTTACAAGCTGGAGCATAGCCCAGGCTAGCAGTGAATCTTCCAGACTCACTATTACTGGTGATAACCTCACTGAGGAAAAGAGCCCAGATGGATTCTGGAGACTCTAGACAATGTTGAACAGGAAAAAAACTCTCTATGTTCTGGGCCCTTGTTACCTGTGCTTGTTAAGAGACCTATAAATGAAGGGCCAGAAAAACCATTAATGAAAATACAAAAATGAGAAGTCATATTTTAAGATGGCAGATCTGCAATTAAATAAGCACACTTTTCCAGGCCCATGCTTCCCCTTGGCCCCTGGAGTCCCTGCAGCCAACCCTGGTTCAGATGATGATACATCCAAGCCTACGACAAGCAGCCATTTTAGATGGATAACCAGGTGCTAATTTACTAATGAGCACAGACCCCTTACATGCCGGGAGCTATTTCCCCAGCTCTCCAGGGGCTTGCAGAGTTGTTGTGGTGTGTGAGAGACACATGAGCTAATTAGTATGTAATTTTCTTTCTCACTCTAACCCTGGCTCCTTAACGACCATTTAAATGAGAGGCCCTTTCTCTTTACTGCTCCCTATGCTAATCTCTGGCTCACTGGCTTAGTTACAGCTGCCTATGAATATTTTAGGGAGTGACAGTTTTCCAGCCCACTTTAATTGAGTGGGGGACACTGTTTTACCAAATTGCAAGTGAATCTTTCTGCACTCTTATTTTTGGTTGCCTGCAGTAAATGAAGCAAATCATTATTTGCCCAGATTAGCGGTCTTCCAGTTGTGGTCTTTCTGCTGTGTGCATTAAATGGGCAGTGGGCTCACAGCTGAATGATTCATGGGGCACTCTGGGATGGGGAACGAGTGCAAATTGCTGGACACTACTGAGGTCAAGCTTTGTTCTTTATCCTGAAGGCCTAGACTTCAAATTAGTTTCTTAGTTTGCTCCTGTCTCTCTCAGCCTTTGTACTTCCTCTCCCTCACTTTGCCACAGAAAGTGAGGTTACTAGCAACTTGCTCCAGCTGTGTATTGGAAAACTGACGTGTAGTAATCCCTTCTGCAGATGGCTCTCCTTGTCTGGAGAAATTGTCTTCTTCCACTGAGGGATGAATGCCCACTCTCTTGTTTGCCATACTGAAAAGTGGATTTGGTGTTATAAAATATGATGTAGAGGGGGGAAAAGGCAGTCTCTTGATGGCAGGTCTTTTAATTTCTGACATTTTTATGCTGAATTCTTCCCTGCTAGAATATGGCTGATTTAAGTGTGATTTTCCCTGGGTTTAGTTTGGTCAGGCAAATCTTTGGCTGTGTCTCATGGCTGACAGCCACTTTTCTCCTCTCAAAACCACACTTGTCAGAAATGCTACTTCCAGGTTCTGGATAATGTTTCTCATTAACATTCATGTCCCTGCATTCTTCATTTAGCCTGTTTAACTTAAAAGCCAATGTCAGTGAAGTGCATTGAAATGGTTAAATAATAATCAAAATCAAACTGTTTATAATCACTGTGAAAAAATAGAGTACTTTCATTTTATGATGAAACCACCATCTGATGCTGGAACAAACAGAGGAGCTGGACTTCTGTCAGTGGAAGGCCTGAATTGTGTCTTGCATGGTGTTACCTCCTTTCTTAATACTGAAAATTCATTCCTTTGTAGGCTGGCCAGAGTTCACGCACTGTGTAGACACCCTGAATGGGACTAATGAACAGGACAGTCTTTGTCCTGGCCTTGCATAATTGTGGATTTCACTCACAGATTGGAAATCTGTGAAATTGTAGATTGGAGCTCCAGTGAAATCAACAGCTTGCTTTAAAAAACAAGGTCTTGTGATTGTACAGGTCACCTCCAGAAAAGCATCTTTCCAAGTCCTGTAATACTAAAGGAGTTGAAATTGGGTTGGAAGGACTTAAATCTTTATGTTGCCAGGATCTGCATGTTGTCATAAGAAATTGATCCCTGGGGACAAACCAGAAATGTGTCCCCTGATTTATATGTATGTTATATATGCAGTATTCTTTGGTATGTTGGCTCAGTCAGAAGAGTTACCATCGCTCCTGATTTTTCATTGTTGGTGACACATGCTGCCGGACTAAGGCTGTGTGGTCTGTCATTTCATCGGCTTTCACCAAGTGAAATATTGTTTCTGATACTGTTTCCCACTTAGTAATACCATCACATCTGGCATGTCATCAAAACTTTTTTGTGTGTTTTTTAATATTTTTTCTAGCTAAGGGCATGTAGGAAATAAGAAATAGTGTTCCATATTCTAAACATCTCTTTCTTTTCATCACATCAGGCTTGCCAAAAAATCCTGGTTCGGTAACTTCATCAACTTGGAGAAAGAAGAACAGATTTTTGTGGTCATCAAGGACAAACCACTAAGCTCCATTAAAGCTGATATAGTCCACGCTTTCCTCTCGGTGAGTCACCCCAGCTGCCTCTTGGAGGCATCCCTCTCCGGTCATTCCAGGACTCCATGTGCCAAATGTTACTGGACAGGGCCTCTGCTCCTTCAAAAGCATCCTCTGTGGATTTAATTTACATGGCCTGCACTGGACTGTGTGTGAAATACTAACTGTAGATATTGCTCTCTAAGGTGAGAAAAGACTTCAGCCTTCTTGGCAAGGCCTCCAGGTTGCCAGAGTTTGGAATGCCACGGCAGTGGAGCACACTGCTGGCACAGTATCAAGGCAGTGATTTGCTGCTTTGTCAAATCAGCCTTACAGTCACTGTCTGGGCAGCAGATTGGGTCTCCTTTTAATGGGTATGCCCTCCACTTCAGCCAGACAAAAGGCCTGTCCTGCATCTGCATTTGTTACTTTAAATCCCCACCTCAGTGCTGTATGGCAGAAAGAAGGGTGATTTCTTCTGGTGTCCAGAGTTTCAGTTGTTGCAGATGAGGTTTGTGTACAGCCTAAGAAATCAGAGGGAAATTGTCTGTTTTTCGCAGTACCTAGAGGTAGCAGTGATGAAAAAGTCAGCACAGCAAAGGTAATTTAAGAGGTTTTTCAATTCAAGGTAGTCAACAATATAATTAGAGTTTTTCCAATAGAATTAAGAGAAGGAAACTTAATTTCTTATATAGTTTGTTATATTGATTTTTTTTTCCCCACAAAATACTGAACTCCATTTTAGTCTTTGTGATTCTGCAATGAACTTCAAAAAAAATCAGCCATAACCCTTGTTACTGTACAAGCACACAAGGAGGAAGTGCAGAGTAAGTGGGCATCAGACGCTGGTGTTCATCTCACGCTGGTTATAAGCAGCCATGTTACTGTATCAATTTCATGCATTTAGCTGTGCTTTTGGGTTTATATGGTGGTGTAGTGTGTTCTGCTGTCTACACTGGTGATCCCGTGCATTTGGTTTAGGTAGGGATTTGTGTGCAAAACCAGTGAATCATCTCTTACAGCAAGATCCAAACTGAAATGCATTGTCATAACCTGCTAATTAACCCCTAAAGTCAGCTTCTCAAAGAACTCATTTTCATTTTTCCTCCTAGAGATTAGAGACCAGATTTCCAGGAAATTTTTTGTTTGGTTTTTTTTAATCTGGTCTTTTATGAAGCAATACATAGAATACAAGTATGTTGTTAAATTTTGGAGGAAAATGTGAAAGGTATCTGCTTGAAAATTAGGAAGTTACGAAATTCCACCACGGTTCTGAATATACAGATGTTGGATGATGTCAGAAAGCTTCTCAGAATTCTTTTATATATTAATAATTAATATTTGGGTGAGTTATTTGCAGGAATGCTTTCCCTGTGGATATCCCAGGCACTTTAAGAGTCCTGATGTCTATCTGACATCGTAGAATCACCAAGCAACTGAAGTTGGAAAGGCCTTCAGGAGGTCTCCTGCTCAAGACAGGATCAGCCAGACCAGGCTACTTAGGTGTTTTTTAATACTCAGTTTTAATATTTAGTTTTATATCCCACTGACTTTTCTGCCCACTCCCTTAATACCACTTTTTGCTCAGCAAAAGGCATTTCTCAAAACTGGTGGATGAGTAGAAAAAGAAAGACTGAGTGTATGAAGTTGAGCAACACATGTAAATTCATAACTGTGTTGGGTATTCCACCAATATTCAGCCCTTAAATTTAGTCAGTCCTGTAGGCAGCAGTGCATTCTTCTGCAGCCTATGCTCTTACTGATTTCACAAGAACACTGTACATTACAAACTCAAGACCAGAAGCAAATGTAGCAAATGTTATTCATTTGGAAATGTGTGTTGTTACAAACAGAATTTTGCAGATTTTTTCCCTTTAGCACTGGTTCTACTATCTGCTTCTACCAACCTCTTTCAGATCCCAAGTCTCAGTCACAGTGTCATCTCACAGACAAGTTTCCGTGCAGAATATAAGTCCACAGGAGGTCCTGCTGTCTTCCAGAAGCCAGTGAAGTTCCAGGTGGACATAACATACACAGAAGGGGGAGAGGCACAAAAGGAGAACGGGATCTATTCTGTCACTTTCACACTCTTATCAGGTAATCATGGCAAAGCTCTAAAATGGGTGTGAGCTGGCTTGGTCCTTGCTGCTTATAGAGGCCTGCAAATTGCACTGCCAGAGATAAAAATATAGCTGGCTTAACCTTGGGAAGATTCAGTCAGGGGTGAGGACATCAGGAACAGAAATGTGTGATGGAAATGCAGGGAGGGAAGGAGATTCCCAAAGAGGTGAAGTTGGCACTGCCATGATTAGTGCTAAAATGGCTGTTCTGCACACCAGTTTTGGTGTAACTCATGATACTGGCTCCCTGTCTCATTGAAAAGTCCCAGAGTCTCAGCTGGGCACTGTGAGGCCATAGCTTCTTCCTTCTGACAGGAAGATGCACTCACCCTTTTCTTCTGGGTGGCCACATGCCCCCTACAGGGGTTGCAACAAAGAACAGAAGAAACAGACCCCCTCACCTTTTCTGTCTTTACAAACGGAGCCCCAAAGCCACTCCTCTTCCTGTTGAGTCCAGCACACCACAGTCCCTTTGGCTGAAGGACAGACACGCAGTCAGGACACTTCTGGGAGCAAGACTGAAGGGGAGATGCTTGTGATCCTTCCCCTGCAGCCTTGTGTGTGGGCTTGGCTCCCACTGCTCTCACAGCCACTTCTGCCTCTTCTCTCCCCGCAGGTCCAAGCCGTCGCTTTAAGAGGGTAGTAGAAACCATTCAGGCACAGTTGTTAAGCACACATGACCAGCCTTCAGTGCAGCAGTTATCAGGTAAGTGGCTTCTACTGTCCAGCATCTTCAGCAGGGACAGGAAGGTAAAATGCCTCTCATAGCAGGAGGCTGAGGGAGGCCATCCCTCTGATTACAGCAAAAAACGAGCTCCATTCAGACAGAGCAGTAACTCCCTGCTCCCACCCTACTCCTCCGTTTCTCCTTCCCTCTCCAGTGCTCCCAGCGCATTCCCCAGTTGAACAGCTTCTGCCCTCTGCCCGCCCAAAGAGCCATTTTCCCACTTCTCCATCAAAAGATGCATCATCAACAGATCTATCCAGATTTTCTCCAGCTCCAGAATCTCCCAGAGTAGGGACCTGCTCTAGAGGATACTTGATTTTCAAATCCTTCAGACTTACTTTAGAAAGCTCCAACTTCAGTGGCTCCCTGAACAAACTTGAGAGCTACTTTTAACTTAGCCATTAACATATGGTCAGAAGGTGGCTAATAGTTTCCAGCAGTGTGATCCAATTCTCAATACTATGGTAGCACAAATTATATACCAAGGTTCTGCAGAAGCTATATTTTATCTATTTGAAAAGTAAATTTCAATTCCTCGTGGTGGTAGAGAAGGCCTTACATGCGTGACCCTGTGCAATGACATCAATCTGGATGTGCAGGCAGCCTGAATTGATAATACAGAAGCTGGCCTCATCCCATCATTATGTAGCAGGTGTTCACTCTGGACACTGTAGTGGTTGTACACACACACACACACACACACACACACACAAAATCTCAGTGGTAACTCTTCTATCCTTTAAAAGGACAGAACAAAGAAGAAGGTGCAAGTTGAAAACTTAAGGCTGATAAGCTACTGGGAATGTGTCAAGGAAAGAAAAGTAGGGAAAAGCAGAAAGAATGTGCAGATACTGGGAATAAATAGGAGCAAGGCAGAGAGCAGAAACTGCAGCAGAAGACAGAGAGGCAGAAGGAGTGGGAGATGAAAAGGAAGTAAATAAATATTATGCTTTAGAGCCAAATTCTGTTCTTGACCCTTGTGTGAGCAAGCCAAGACAAAAGCGGGGGAGTTAAGCTGACATTACATCCTACAATTAAGTCCCAGATGTCCTTGGCTCATTGCACATATGGGTTACATCCTTCTGGTCTAACAGTGTGGCTTTAGCATCCAAAGATAAAATAACTGTATCTAGAAGTGTGTATGCCTAGTACCTGACAGAGAAATATCCTCAGTTCAGCGTCCACTTTGCTTTTGGCCTCCAGCACTGCTTGACCCTTCTGCATGCTGGAATACAGTGGTGCCCAGCACTTGGGTCATTCTGTTCAGAAACAAGGAAAACAAGGGCACTATAAGGTTGATTCAGGTTTTTACTGTCTGGACTTCTGAAATGAAATCAAACTCAAGGAAGCAGCTAGAATTTTCTGCCAGCCCTTCCTCCTGGGAAATGCTGGGGCTCAGTGGGAATGAGGGGATTGAGATAGGAAAGCATCTAAACATATTTCATATTACTCCTGATGTGTGGACAATATTCAGGCATTCCTTGTTCTTCGGGAATGAAGTATACCCTTACTTTCCTGTGAGGAAAAAATGGTTTATAAATAACTTGATGATCTCTCTTAACTTCTTCACCCTAATTTGTGCTAGTTACTGAGGCTCTATAGAAAAATTTGAACCCTCTTGCACACTTGAATGTGAAGCAGGATATCTCCCTAAGAAAGCCGTATTATAGCAGGAATAAAAACCATTCATCTGACCAAGACTCAGGGAAATGTTATGGGCATAGTCTGCTATGAAAAATGTATCTGACTTACAGTTTTGCTCTGGTTCTGGAATGGAAAAATGAGAGCATATTGTTCTAGCAGGGAAAACCCAGCCTGACCTCTAATGCCAGAGTGGAATAGATAAGTCCACGTGGAGCAAAACCAAAATGAATGGTCTCTTGAAATTTAAAAATGAGAATTCCCATGGCTGGGGACTTACCCAGGCAAGACAGCTCACAAGACACAGTGCCAAACTGTTCTGTATTACACCACCTGACCTGATCAGGAATATGCACGTCTCTTGAAAATGAGAGAAGTCAACCTGAAAATTTTACGTTGGAGCAGCATACAAGAAAGAGAGAAAGGGAAGGGAAGAGAAGGGAAATAAAGGGATTTTTACCAAAAAAGAGACAACCTTTGCATCAAAGAAGGGTTGCCCAGTAGTTCACATCCCCAGCCACTGAGAGTAAGGGGAAGTAAAGGGATAAAGGACAGAAGAGTTCACATTCAGCACCTTGCTTAGCTGGGTGTCTGGCTGGAAACGTGAGCAAAATCTTCATTGAAATTGTCATGGAATTAATTGGCATTTCTCACTAGAAACAAAGCAAAGTCTTCTCTGTTTCTCTTCTCCTTCCATGTTGCCAGCTCTGAACACCATGTAGGGATTGTGGTGGTTGGGCCCTTCAGGTTCATGGTTTGAGGACACTCTGTAGGCAGTCTACTGCTGCAACAGATTGAGCTCACCTTCACTTAGACTCTCTTCCTCCATGGCTCTGAGCATGGTACTGTCTCCTGACCAGCCACACTGGTTCAGCACTGGAGCTTTTCCTAGCTCCTCGTGCACAGACACATCCTATGTGTTTGTCTCTCCTGCCTTACAGTTCTGATGCTGTTACAGGTGGGATGATGAAAGCAATTTGTGAAAGGTGCATGAGTGTAAAGGGAGACCTGCAGAAGGGGAAGATTTAATGAATTCAGTATAAAGCAGAACAGCAAGGCCTAATGAACATATGGCAGTGAGAGTCATTCTCTCTGCTGCCCCTCTGATCTGCTGTGCAGCATCCCAGCCCCCTGAGCCGGCCTGCCTGGGTTTCAGAATGCATTTTTCTCTTTTTCATTCCTCCAGCTAACAACAGTGTTTGTAGATGTCATGTTGCCCATGCATCTGTGTGTGTGTGTGTGTGTGTGAGCCTGTTATGTACCTGATTTAGGCAGATGTGTTTCTGTGTCATCACACTTAAGCACCTTATAATATCCCTTCCTCCATATATCCCTTCATTCACTTCCATTTTTCCTTTCTAAGACTGGCTGTGCGTATTTTTTCTGGCATACTCTGAAGCAGGAAAGTAGATTACCTCCTTTACCTGAAAGAAAGTGTAAATAAATGAAATCCATTCCAAAAGTTCATGTAACGCTTCTAAAATTCACTGTCTCGATGGACAAATTTAGTGCAACATACCAGCTTTGTATCCTAGTGTTTCAGGACCTCTGTGCCATAACTGCTGAGACAAATACCAGGTCTGTGACTCATGACTTGCATAGAACAAGTAGATAGGGATTGAGTGTTCATTTTTTCTTCCTAATGAAAGAAACTAGAGGCCAGTGTAAGATAGTGGAAGCCAAGTACCAAAAAAGCCATTGGAAAGCGTGTCTTCGTGTAATCTAGAACTGGTGAAACTCCTCACTGAGACATGTTCTGAATGTGAGCAGCTTACAGATGCTTATCTTCCCCTGAGTACTGCTTCTCACTCACAGGGAGGTTGGATAACTCCCTGCAGAGAAATCTTTATGGGATTGCTAAACAGAGAAACTGCAGCAGGTTCAGGAAATCTCCAAGCTGAGAGTGGTGAGTGAGGCAGTGGGAGGAGAAGTGCTCTGTATGCTTGGCCTGCTCTTTCACTCCTGGGTGTCTGTGGAGCCGCTGAGGGAGACAGAGCACCAGATCACAGAATATTCTGAGCTGAAAGGGACCCACAAGGATCATCAAGTCTGACTCTCAGATCGTTTTGGCCTTTGATCTGAACCAGAAAAATTGTCTATGTGTGCTTGTTATTGGTATCACAAAAGCCATTACACTCAGTGAGACCATGAAAGGACCCCTTTGGGATCAAGAGGGAGTCTCACTGTCTGTGAGAGCAGTCAGCCTTGTCTTTTGTCCAAGAATGGCTCCATCCAGGGCCCTTATACTCAGAATCTCTACTTAGGTAATCCCTGGGCAGACTGCCCTTTGCTGGGATAAAAAGATCTCTCTCCATGGAGGACGATATCTCAGATTTGTTCCTTTGTTTCAGCCCAGCACTCTTTCCATTAAATCATGGTCTGTTTTTCTCTGAAGCCTTTGCATGAAAGAGTAATAGTAGCAGCTGGTAAATAGGGACATGCAAAAGCCATCTGTGATCATTCACAGGGTAGCAATTTTTATTTCCCTAATATTTTCTTGCTTCTCTGAGCTTTGGTTTTAAGTGTGGGATGCTACATATTCAGATTTTTTTCCCATTTTCCTAGGTTCTAGGCAATCAGCAATACTGAAATAACCTTTATAACTTCTTTGTAAAAGCTTTTCTGTTTTTTTATTATATTTATTGACTTCATATCAGATTTTATGTATTGACATCTCCAAGTTCAGAGCATCTCACTGTTACTGCTGGAAGTGCCTTTCATCAGCATAAACAAGTGTTTAGAGACCATATCCAGCTTCAAAACAGGGCAATGCAAATTCTTGCTAGGGCACTGATCTGTGAATTCCAGGTATTTTATAGCTCACAAGAGCTGTGGGCTGACAAATTGCTGCCAAAAAAAAGTAAGAAACCTACAGTTTCCAAATGCATGAAGGATTTTATCAAGATGGAAAAGGGAGTAAGGAGCAAATGAAGTGCTTCCAGCTGCAGACTCAAAAAAAAAGGACTCTGCAAATACCAGTTTGGAATTAGATTGCAGGTCAGTTTTTCTGGGGTTCATTCAGGTCCCAAGTTTCTCTTGTTTCCTACAATCCTCTGTGACCCCTTATGTCTTATACTCCTGTAGTGTCTAGTATAATTACTTCATCTTGCTCTCATAGTTCCACCTGCAAAAATGCCTGTAATGCCTGGTTGGATTGGCAGAGCACTGTGTTTTTGCTCAACAGCTTTAGTATTATTACTGAACAGCCTTCATTAAAATTAACTGAAATAGTTACTGGTAGTCCAGAAATAAAGCATGTAGAAAAAAAGTCCAAGCTCTCCAGAGTTTTGATAGGAAAACAGAGAATTTCAAATAAGTACAAAAACACTGGGGAATTT